CGGGTTCTACCCCAGAACCGTGAAACATCTGGGCTGACAGTGGTTGCATACGCTACAAGTAGAACAATATATTATCGCTTGTCTCCCACCTTTTTGTTCTGCACAGGTTATGGTTCACTGAGTACTTGCCTGGTACCAGGAGGGCTAAAACCAAGTTTGCAGCATCAACCAACAGGTTTGACTGTGATCAAACTGGAGCGCACAGATCTTATTCACATCAAGACTGTTATTACAGTCAAGAAAAAGCAAAACAGCTGCCTCGAGGACTCATTTCACCCATACAGAATGCATCTGTTTCCAGTTAGAAAGGGTTTTGCTTAAGCCCCATGTTCTGTCCTCCTCAAGGTTTCGTGCCCAAACATGCATTTTCAGATCCTCTAGCTCCATCTCTCTGTTTGCCTACTTCAGCTCTCTGCCTTCCTCACCAAAATGCATAATTTGAAATTACATACTACTGTTCCTCATAGTATCTCCACCTGGTTATGAATTATCAGGTGAATTACAAATACGGTCCCACAGAGATAGGTTTAATGAGGTGCCCATAATTATACAGTGAGTCAGTGTCAGAACGCTGGTGCTAAAAAGCAGTGCTGAAATGTGTACCCCTACCCTAAAAAATTCAAGATTGCGATTACACTGATTTGAAGATAAATAGTCAGATTTGACACCAACAGCCACAGCAGTAGAATTTTGCTTTAACAACCCAAGTGGTTACCCATCAGACACGAGTCACAGAGCAGCAGGTAACACTATCGAAGTCTTCAGGTTCTGCAACTCCAGTCCCACCTGCTGCACAAGTCAAAGGTGTGTTGTGAGACCAGCAAGAGAAAACAACTGGAGCAAAGCAAGACCAGCAGATGTGTTTGGGAAGATGCAGTAGGTCCTAAAAGTGTAGCCACAGGCATGGCTGCAAGAGCGCCTGAAGGAGAGGCACAGAAAAGGTCATTTGTTGAACAGCAAGTTTATTAGAAGGCCACAGGAATTTTGCCATGAAGGACCATAGCAGAAGCTGCATTTTGGTGTAGCTGCTAATGACTAGTGCGTCCATTCCTTCCCCAGGCCTGCCCAGGGGCAGCTTGAGGGCCTGAGGCAATAAGCACCAAGGAAGTTCAGCTGGCTTAGCATACTCCATCTGCTAAGACATCAGAATCTGCCTTCCAGTTCCAGCAATTTCTCCTGCAGGAGCCCTCCCCAGATGATTTACTTTGGCTCAGCTTCTTGTGCAGCCTAACATCCGTCTTCCAAAACTGAAATCTGGCCTTCAGCTGCTGGCATCCAGGCAGCGCCAAATGAACTGTGCCCACAACCATTTTAAGGTTGGCTATTTCCTTTGGCCTAGCTTTGAGCAGTGACTGTTTATGCTCCCAGCCTTCTGCCTCACAGCTTGATCTGGATTCCACAGTAGTAAGCACTTACAGAAGTGCTTTATATATTGGAAGCACTGGAGAGAAATTAACTGACCCTCTGAAGCATCAGAGTGATAGATGGGTGCACATTACCCCCTTTTTACAGATGAAAAAGTGAAAACGAAGAGGTAAGGATCTGGACAAGGTCACATAGCCAAGCAGTGAAAGAGACATGATGAGGATTCAGGTTCTTCTCACAGCCAACACTGTTGCCTACTCCTACAGAAGACAGGGCATCAACCCGTCAGTGGGGAAGGGGCTCTTTGTCTTAGCTTTTTCAGCAGTCTTTGGGGTATTTCAGTGCCATCCTGGCAGGGTTAACCCCAGGGGTGACATGTAGGGGGTCCACACAGGTACACGTGTACCCCCTGAGCATGGCAGTGCACTCCCTACAAAAACACATTGCCAACACTGTTGGCGGTGCCTGTGGATGGTCGCCACTTGCCACCCCACTACCGGCGGCATCTGCAAGCTGTCAATCCCTTCTGGCCAGCACCAGCAGCATCTGTGGGAGCTCTGTGCTTACCGCCGCTGCGCTCCTGCTGCTGCTGCCACCCCCTGTGCAGCCATGCCCCCCAGCCGCTGGGGGCACGCATTGTTCATGGTTAACCCGATTTTGAAGTGCTGCGCAGGTTTCGAGGGGAAAGTCAGGTAAGCCTATTGTTACAGAGTCTGGTCACAGAGCTCAGAACCCAGCACCCATCTTCCTTTTCCAATGTTGCATGACATGTTTAAGGCTGACTTTGAATTCACGAGTCGAGATAAACATTTCTTCTTCCGTGCCTAAAACCCTACACTGTTTTCTTAGATGCACGGACAGACAAGCCTCAGCTCACTCAAGGAGGCACAGTGAAGATTTAAGGGGCATAAATAACAGTTTGCAGCCACAGCCAGGTGCTCCACTGAAACTCTCTCGGCTAAGGATCCATTTGTTAATGGAGTTGCTTGAGCTGCAGTAGAGTCAGGGAACTCACAGCAGTGGACCCTGCAAAACTTCCACGGAGTAGCACTCTCCTAGGACTAGGGTATGAACAAGCTATCTGATTTACAAGTGTCATAGGTTTCATTTTCAATTAAACATCAGGTGAAGTGATTTCAACACTAATTTAGAAAACTTAGTAGTTAAAAATACTTAGTTCCAAGAAACGATCATTTGGGTGGAAGGATGAAATGTTTCATAGTGGAAAGTTCCTCCTAGGTAAAAAGATATTCTTTACTTTGGAGGGTCACGGGCTTTATCTCCAGGGCACATCTGTATTTTCTCATTTTTAAAGACAGTATTTAAGAATAAAGTGAGAGCGCAGGGGCATGCACCTCCTCCCTGCTCACAGACACAGGAGCCCAGATGGCTCTTCTTATGGTGATACTCAAGTCTCTGACATCAAAAACTGAACATCTAGGACTCTGACCATCAGGGCAACATGTGGTACATCATCAGCAAACAAATTACATAGGTAGTAACCTGGGGGAGGGGGGGGGAATTGAATAGGGTTTGAATCCTGACCCTGAATTGAGTTTGATGGCTGACACCTGGATTTTCCAGCTCTGATATTCTCTGAAACTCTTTCTGACCTGTGTGTCAGCCAGTCTCTCAAACTGCATCGTGACAAGGACAGCCTTCTCCAGAGGGGAAGCAGAACCAGAATTTTCACAAGCATATTTGATTACACATTGAAACACCTCAAAACCTCACCCTGTCTTCATGTTACTCACTTGCCTTGCATCTCTTATTGCCTCCTTTCCCATGAGACAAAAGCATCACGATCCTTAAAACCCAGCTAGCACTACTTACCATAACATAACCTGCACAAAACTGGAATTTAAAATGAGTATCAGTAACCCATTATTCCTTTTCAAAGGACTGACATAGCTACAAATATACAGGACTTCAAGTGAAACCTGAAGAATGTGGTGCAGAAATATTGCCCCCTCCCCAGTAGGACAGCTGGTCTTATGCCAGTGAAGTGACATAGCCATGCAGCACTGAACCACTTCCACACTATACTCCATTCAGACAAGGATCTGGTGCAGAATGGGTTTTTCATAACTGATGCATTCACACCATTCATCGTTCACATTACAATTATCAGTAGGCTTCCCCATCCCAGAATGTTACTGATGGGCTGTACTAACTACATGTCTCAACTCCTACCTGAAGCCAGGGATGCCCTAAGGCTTCTTCTGTTGTAAGTCGTTTATTTGGGTCCACAACCAACAGCTTCTTCACAAGGTCCAAAGCTAAAATAATGAAATAAGCTGACCAGCACATAGCTAACAAATCCATAACTTTAAAATAAATGATATACAGTGCTCATCACAATGATTTGTACTTCTCCATAGCAACAGTGCTAAATGCATCACATCAGATAAGATAGCAGCAACATTCCCCTAAAGCAACACATAAATGCTTTCTGCCTTTTAACGGTGAATGAATGGCATGCTTCATATGACTGTTCTTGGATATACACACTATAGTCCACGGGTAGTGAAACACTCTTGTACTATCCATGGTATTGGACAGAAGTGACATAGTAAGACTTCACTGTCATGACCACTGACAACATTGCAAATGTATTTAAAAGCCTCATTCAGCTGCACTGGGGAAATCAAGCAGTTAGGGCATTTATTTGGCTGCAAGTGAGCCTGCCTACATGGAGGTCGGGTTGAGACCTGGCTGTGATTCAGTGCCTGAAACTCTGTAGTTTCAACCCAGTTTCCTGTGAAAAGCCTCTTATTAAATATGTCACTGCTCATACATGGTCCCTGCAGTTTCCTGCACAGGTGCCTACTGTATTTACGTCAAATTCCTCCCTCAAGATATTCTAATCAGGACCCTTACTTTCTTCTTGTTCACCTAGCAAAAAAACCTGCTTAACACACACTGTGGGGAGACAGAGGTGATATAAGACAGAGTGATGTTTAGCACTGCTAATCAAGAAAAGTACTCTTAGCTAATGTCCATCTGTTCTAGAGCTTTTACCACAAAATTGCATTGAACCAGACATGAAAAACATAAAGAAAGGTTCATTATTTTATTCTTAGGTTCTTGCTAGAAAAACATTAACATTTCATGTGAAATACCATAGTTAGAAAGGAGACAAGAAACCTCCATGGAATGAATAATTTTATAGCTATTTTAACATAACCATACCTGTACCAGACACATGCTTCCATTCCTTTGGAATAAATGTGTATTTTCCCTGAGTAATCTGCTCTTTCAGAGACAGTTTAGTATTATGTTCATTGAAGGGAGGATATCCACATAAGCTAAACAAAAGAGAAAAAGTTAAGTTGATAATACAGGTTTTGTCCCAGCCACAAAGACTGCCTGTTAGATGGCATGTATTTCAAAGCATCCTTTCCAAGATCAACAATTTGAAAGACATGCTGACACATAGCACATGTACTTAAATAAAGGCCAAAGATCAGCCTCCACATGCATCACCAACCACTCAACAGAACTGTCAGCCACAAACTTTCTTACCATACAAAAAGAATAACTCCTAAACTCCAACAGTCCACAGCACAGCTGTACCCTTCAGTCCCAAGGGAATTAAGAACCTCAGGGGCAAGGTACGTGGGAGTGCCACATAATGTTTTCATAAGAGAGGTTTCTCCAAGAATCTTGGATTGTCCAAAATCTGTAATCTTACCCACAGAGATAACACTGTGTTAAAAAACAACTGACTTGCAGTGGAGTACACAAGGTAGGTTAGCATGCGTCAGGAGAGGATTTACAGCTCTAATTCCCAAGACGTTCTAGTACATGACTATGCCAAGGTCCACCCAGCAGAATACGTTAGTGGAAAGACTCAGCTGGGCAACAGATTTGTATTGGGGTGGGGGGCAGAGAAGAAGCACGTAACAGAGGGAGACATAAGTTTGTTTAGCACTAGTCTGAGTGTCAGACTGATTTTTTTTTTTTTATTTGCAGACTCTGGAATAGCTCAAGCAGTAACACTGTCACCCTATGCTTCCTAGGGAAGGCTACTTAGGTAAAGACTATCCATTCCCTGAATGTACTGTTGTGCCTCTCTGTCAAACCAGAGCTCGTTATCAAGCAGCCCAGATAACCAGAGTCATGGACATTTCTGTAGTTAAGACAACATTGATGACTTATTTGCCTTTCAGCAGGGATAAATCATCTTTCAGTTGTTACCTTGTTATAGTTTTTTGAATGATATGTTGTACTTATTGAGGGCAGGCGGGGATCTATGCATTTTAGGGGAGAGCTGCAGACCCTTGAAGGAGGGCAGGGTATGGGCTTGGCAAGGATGTTGGGAAGATGAGCGCGGTCTCCCCTGGGTATGAGGCAGGGGAGTGGGAGTGGGTGGAGAAAGGGTTTGTATACCAAGACTTGAATGGAGGCTGGGAGCCATGGTTGGGATGGCCTGGGGAGTTGCTGCTCCAGGTAACAGGCAGGCATATGCAGTGGCATTTAAAGTTTTAGTGTGTCAACTGGGGAGTCTGTTGATGTTTCTTATCACGTTAATTGTTTTGTCTGCCACTGCAAGCTGTTCTGAGACTTTCTGGGTAGGACACTATACAAGTCTAAATAAACAAACAACAATGTGAAATGTTTTATTCATTCTTATGTGAATTAACTTATTAAAATATATACGAGGAAACAAATCTCTAATGTGTGTAAGAGCCTTACGCTCACTTTCCTGAATTTTTAGCATCAACGTTACATAGAAATAAGTATCAGCAAACTTCATCCCATATTAATTGCATGCATGTTGGAATTTAACTATATTAAAGAACTACTGCTGGAAAACGTTCCACAATTTTTAATGAAAGAACAACAAAATAAAAGCAAAAAATGAAACAGAAATAGAAATTTCTCCCTTACCTTTATAAGGCAAATTTCTTCAGAAGATGAAAGTAGCACATTCTCTGGCTTGAGATCCCGGTGTATAATACCATTGTCATGAAGGTACTGCGTACACATATATAAATGCACATACCAAAAAAAGAAGAGAAAAAACAGAATACCGCACGTATTAAAATGTGAACTTCCAGATTTCTCAATGACAATAACGATGCATTGGAAGACTGCATGCATTAAAACTACAGGGCTCACAAAGGTGTTTAAAAGAGCTGTTATGCAGCAACTGGAAATCTTGCCAAAGGTAGAATGAGTGGAACCAACATGATATGCCATTCCTGCAGTTCATGCAAATATCATACATATTTTCCTGCATTAGCAGAATAAATTCTCTGTGACAAGACAAAAGAATTGTGGTTCTCTCTCTCCCTCCTATGTTAACAGTGACTATTTTGGGGGGCGGGGGGTGCAAGACCCCTTCCTTTACATGCTTTGCCCTGATTGAGTCTGCAAAAGTAGCCTGTGAAGTACAGCAACTGACTGCACCTCACACTGGCAGTGAAGAAGCCACAGACAGGCTTCAAGAAACCTGGGATAGAGTAGTCTTCTCCCCTACAACATCCAAGGGACAGCAGCCTACATCTATTTTATGGATATAGAGAAGCATTCACTTACTGCCACACTAATATGAGCAAGCATTTATTGAAGGAAGGAAGCTTAACTGATTGTACAGTTGGAATTGCGCCAGCCATATTTTCCTTGGTGGAATTCAGGACTATCTACCTTTACAGCCAACAGCATCTGATAAAAATACAGCTTGCAGGTAGCTTCTTTCATCTTGATTGGTCTTGACACTCTGTCATATAATTCTCCTCCTTCCATCCTGGAACAGATTTACATTAGAACCGTCTAAGCACCAGCTTCAGCATTGGTTTGCATCACTGGGCAACCTAAGACCGGGCCACTTAATTCAAAAAACAGTCAAATGAATAGTATAGTAAGCTTGGTTTCTAAAATGCATCCAATGTATCTTTGTTATATGGATATGAATTATTATATACAACTAGAAAAAAAGAAACTGTGCCTGCGTGGTTTCAAATAAAATCCAAGAAAGCACAAAGTGTGTTAGCAGGAAGGCAAACAACTTATTTGAGGTGATCTCACTTTCTATCAGTAGCATCTGGCCAGCACAGAGCCTTGGGAGTCTTTTAAGATGCTTCATTCTACTTGATGACTCTCCACAGAATAATGTCTATCCTTTCTGCCTAGCCAAGAGACTCTCCCTCATTTTCACAGCCCTCCAGCCACAGCATCCACACTCATCATCTTCACACTGCCCTACCTGGGACTGACAATGAAGGTCACAAAGATGCAAGCTGGCTGGCCACTAGTTCATCTCATGACTTTTAGTAAGGCTTTTGACACAGTCTCCCACAACACTCTCATTAACAAGCTAAGGAAATACAGACTAGACAGAAGTACTGTTAGGTAGATACATAACTGGCTGGATCATTATGCTCAGCGGTAGTCATCAATGGCTCAATGTCTAGTTGTGAGAAGAAATCAAGTGGGATACCTAGAGGTCTGTCCTGGGTCTAGTACTGTTTAATGATTTGGATAATGGAACTGAGTGCACACTTAGCAAATTTGCAGATGACACCAAGTTGGGTGGAGTTGAAGACAGTCTGGAGGATAGACCCAGGATCTTAAATGACCTGGAGAAACTGGAAAAAATGTCCCGCAATCAACCACATCAAATTCAACAAGGACAAATGCAAAGTCCTGCTCTTGGTATAGAAGAATTGTACATACAAATACCACCTGGGGAACAACTGGCTAGGCTGCAGTACTGCAGAGAAGGACCTGTGGGACACAGTAGCTGAATGAGCTATATGTTTATTAAGCTGAACATAGCCCAAGAGTGTGCTCCTGTTGCAAAAAAAGCCAATGGTATACTGGACTGTATCAACTGGAGTGTTGTTTGCAAATCAAGAGAAGGAATTCTCCACCCTACTCAGCATCGGTGAGGCCACAACTGGAATATTGTGTACAGATTTTGAGTCCAGCAGAGCAATAAAAATGATTAGAGGCCTAGGAAGCATGACTTATAAGGAAAGGCTGAAAGAACTAGGGTTTAGTCTGAAGAAGAAAAGATTGAGAAGGGATTTGATAGCAGTCTTCAATTACCTGAGGGGTGATTACAAAGAGGATGGACATAGATTATTCTCTCTGGCTGTAGGACATAGGACTATGAGCAATGGACTCAAGCTGCAGCAGAGGAAGTTTAGGTTAATCATTAGGAAGAACTGTCTCACTATGAAAGTGGTAAAGCATTGACTCAGGCTACCTAAAAAGTTGTGGAATCTCCATTGCTAGAAATTTTCAAGAGCAGGCTAGACAGAGACTTGGCCTGGATGATTTAGTCAGGGATAATCTTGCCTTGAGTAAGCAACTGGACTAAATGACTTTGTGAGGTCCCTTCCAGGCCTAATTTCCTATGATCTCTGGCTCCTCATCCAGTTCCAAATCTAGGTCAAGAAACTGATCTTGAACTTTAAACTGCTGTACAGTATTTTCCCTGGAACACACACTAAATGCAAATAGTCTACTTACAATTCCAAAATAATGTAATAGTCTTCTGCTTCAAAGAAGTTTTTAATCTTGATTAAGCAGGGCTAATAAAAAAAAAAAAGAGAAAACCAACAAAACAATGATTTCATACAAACTAGTAATACAGTAACAGTTTCATAGTAACTAGGGTCAGGAGGGACCTGATCAGATCATCTAGCCTGACCCCCTGCCACAGGCAGGAATGAATGCTGGGTTCACAAGGCCCCAGACAGGTGATCATCTGACCTCTTTTTGAATTTGCCCAAGGTAGGGGCGAGGACCACTTTCCTAGGAAGTTGGTTCCAGATTCTGGCCACCCTAACTGTAAAATATTGCCTCCTGATCTCCCAATCTCTAATATGCCATAAGCAAGTCATTTCGGAAGAGTGTGATGCAATGTATTTGTAAGGACACTGCACCTCTTTTAAAAAAAAATATTTCCAAGTGATTTCAGCATTAATGTATTAGAGAATGTAACACCAGAGACTGCCTGCTCAATGCGGACAGGTGCTATGGAAGTTGCACCAAAACATATTTTTCAGTGCACTTCAATCCCAGTCAGAAGGCCTGTTAAATTTACAGTAATTCTGAGCTCCCATGCAGTTCAGCCAATATACTCTAAGCACAGTCAGTTACACTAATTCACTGTAAATGACTCCTCCTTTCGTGCTGTTATGAAGCAAAAGGGAAGAAAAGTTAAAAAAAAAAGAAAACAAAAGAAAAATGTTTCATATCACCCAACTCTGCCAAAGGCAATCAAGAAGTGGGGTCGGGAGGTCTATGTATGTAGTTTTGTAACTACATTAGTCTGATTTTAAATTCCTGATGTCTCTAATGGACTCCGAAAGGTTCCAGTTTCCTTAATCACCAGAAACTTTCAGATAATGCTGCTGAACGAGAATCCCTAGACTGGCTGTTCTGATTGAATAGGTCCAAACATCAATAGTGGAGAATGTGTCAAAGCCAAAGCTAGCCAACAAGTGAGGGCATCCAAAATATTCAGAGAAGAGTGTGTCAAGGAAGATCTTATTGTCTGGAGCTGTGGTTCCCAGAGAGACCATGGAAGGGAAGTGTTTTATATAACAGAAATTGTTTCAGATAACCTTACCTACAACAGACTTGAAAAGGGTCAATTAAATATTTGGCACGTACACAGGAAGAGAGGCAATGTCAAATTAAGTGGTTCTATTTGGGCCATAAGTTACAACCAGCAATCAAGAAAAACATAATGCACATAAAAATATGCTTTTAGGAGTATACTCACATGATTTATTTTCTTCAAAATCTCTATTTCTGTATTGACATTGAACACTGGATCCTATAAAAAAAAATTCAAATGTCAGATGGAATAAGAGTGGTGCTCCTTCCAGAACGTGGGATATGGAAAGACCTTCTGGATGCGTCATATCTCACCCCCTACTACTGTAGGTGAACGCATCATGTAATTCCATTCACAAGATGATCACATTCCACCATTACACTAGTTCGCTTCCAGGTTTCAATTACTCCTTTTGAAAAAATGTACCTAAGTTTCTGGCCAAAATTTAGTCAGGGTCAATTTACACCCATTGGTTTTTGTGCTAGTATTGTCCTTTAGCTCAAATAATTTATCTTCCCCTTGTGTGCGCTCCCCTGACACATTTAAATAAACAAGAATCACGTGTTAGCCTTTGTTTTGCCAGCCCAAACACGCCAGGCTCTTAGAAATCCACTCCCATAAGACAAGTTTCTACTTCTCTCGATTATCCCGCTCGTTCTTCTCTGCATCTTCTGAATTAATCTTTCTGAACAGGGGTTACCAAATTCTACACCGCACTCCAGACGATGTCTGACCTGTGCTTTATAAAATGGTATTAATATACGTTGTTATTTTTACTGAAAACAACTCTCCTGGTACATCCTAGAACTCAATTTGCCTGTTTCACAGCCACCTCACATTGATGGCTCACACTATTCTCTGCATCAGCTAAGACATGCAGGTCTTCTTCCTCTCATTTCCAACGGATGAGACCCCAACTTTGCAGAAATCATGCTTGGTATTAGCACCTAAGTGAACGTCCTTATGCTTCATACCATTCAATTCCATCTCATTTCCATTTCTCCAGTCCACAACCCCATCCTTAGGTTGCTGTATGAAGCTCCATCCCCTGTCCACGGTATTGGCAACGCTTCCTGCTTTGTCCCCTCAACAAATTGCATCACATGCACCTACATTCTGTGCCAGTTCCATTAAACGAGAACACAGAGATTGGTCTCATTCAGAAGTTCCATAAGCAGCCTCTCTCCAGCCTCTGAGCTCTGCTTTAATCGTAACCTGTAGCAACTCATTAGCCAGTTCCCCACCAGACCTACAATTTCTATACATAGCCTCCTTCTCCAGCTTATATAACGATTTCCCAAACAGATGTGAGGCTAACACAGATAGGACTGGATGCTTATTCCTGTGGCTTATGTTTAGGCAGGTTTTTGTTACTATTTATGTTTAACTTAACTGGAGTACCTCGTAATTTTTAAGTAAGACAGTTTTTCTCCCAACACCTTTCAGTCTTGTTTCTAAAACAGCTTACTGCCTGTCCCAAGAGGAAGTGAAAGAATCATCTATCCCAGAGAATTAGCAAAGAAAGGGATTTGTACTTTATCATATTAAATGATGCATAAATACTCACTTTACTGCATGAGAATCCAGCAAAGCTTAAACAATCAACATTTATCATTTCCACAATATTGCAGAAGACTTCAGAAACAATGCACTTACTGCCTCTCTCACAGCAGCTGTCATAAATCTCCGTTTATTGATTATCTTTACAGCAACTTTGTTACACGTGGCCTTTTCAAATGCCAGTTTGACTTCGCCACAGGCACCACTAATATAAAAACATAATGATGTTAATGCTTGCAAACATTTTTCAAAATGCACGTAAAAAATACAAACTGGTAAATGACTGAAGGGCATTTGCTGTCTGATTAGAAAACTATCGTCTCCCAGCCTCTGGAAAACACCAGGCTATCACAGCACTCTGAGGTACGTGTTCAGCAGTCAGACATACTGGCAACACAACCTTTATAACAATGGTTATTAGGGCAGTCACCAACATTTCAATACAGAAATCAAAAGAGCAGCAAAACTCCAAACCGTGAACTATTAAGAGAATACCGAGGACAAGCACTGGTGGTATGTCAGCCCTACAATGGCTAACATAACCAAAACCAAAATCACATTTAAAATGTACATTAAAAGTTTTGACAGCCACTAAGTTTTGATTCGATACGCACTACATGTGGCCCATCGTGTCCACTGAGTAATGGCAGAAAGGTAATGCAACGTCTGGGTTCTGCGCGACAGGGCTGTTCAAATCTGAGGAATACATATGGCCATAAATACATATTTACATAGCAGCAATCATATAGTTGGAAATTCAGGTAGGCCACTCACATTTGTGTTTTCACTGTACGGCTTTCTTCCAAAGTCTTTACAGAAGACACGTCTTTTTCCATTTTAAAAACATTTTAAATATAAAAAGGCTAATCCTTCTTTCTTGAGAATTGGGCAAGGTCATATTTTGACCTCCCCCCAATTAATATACAAAGTGACACAGTAGCCAGCAGATTCTTTCGATCTTTCTCTTCTAAGACTGCTCATACCTAATCATAAACCATGATCTGGGGTTTCACCATTAAAAGTACGTTCTGTACCCAAGCCAATGAGACAAACAGAGCCAAATCCCAGACATAAATGGTGTAAGGAAAGAACAGGCCTAAGCCAGAAAATCAGGCATCCCACTTTTACAGTTTTCATCATTCAGAGCTGAAACTGAGCAAAAGGGCAGCTACAATCCCAGCAACCTAAGGACCCCTTATTCTAAGAGGCTGTATTTGTAATAAGATGACAAAAGTCATATTGCCTGGGAAATGAATAGTTGAACAAGTCTATTTTATTTCAGATTTATTGCCAGTGCTATCACCCATCTATTAAAAGAGGAATTATTCCTCCTCCTTCAGCCCTGGGTATTCAAAACAAAACACCCTCCTTACCCACCCAATTCTTCCCTGCCTGCCCCCCACCCCCATTTTAAAGACTAATAACTTTTAAGCCAAGTAACTGAACATGAGACTTTGCGTTAAGGAGTAAAACAATCCTTTAAAGTTAAACAATTACTTTATACAGCACTAATCCTAAAGATCTTCTAATAGTCTCCTCAAAATACACTTCTGCAACAAGGCTGCGAGATTCTAAGCTCCTCCTTTTGACAACTCAGTATAAACATTTGCATGTAAAAGAATGATTAAAGCAAAGGAAAGAGCTTTTTAAAAAGCCAGAACAATCATCTGAGTAACCACCTTGTTTTACTGCCACTGTTCATTTCACAGCTTCGCTCCACTTTCAGATTACGCCAATCTTCATCTTAATACAAGCACTGCGAAGCAGACCTAGGTGGAGACACTATTCCTGCACAGAGAGATACCCCTTCCCTTGAGCTGAGCTTATTATGGAACACTTCCCCTGTTCTCACAATGTATTGTTTGTTAGCAGATTAAAAAGCAAGGAAGAACTGTTGTGATTTAGTTTGACCCCCCCCCCCGTATAAGAACTTGTGCTAGCTACCAGTAAGTGCTATATAAATTAATACCTTTTCCACCTGCTCCTGTTCTCATCCTTGATAAGAATGACAACTAGGGAGCTACACTAACGGCTTGTGGTCTCTACTAGGCTCACAAGCCCCCTTTGTTTGGGGGTGGGGGGGAGGCAGTTTGCAAAAGAAGGATACGGATTTCCTTACTTATGCTAGCTGAGAGCTCCCCTCCAGCAAGAGAATTCCAGCTGAACAATCAAGGAAGACTTTCTCTATGTGCCACAAAACCACCAGAAAAGAATCTCTCGTAGCATCATAGTTTCGGGCCTAAGACAACCAACTTTATACCACAGGTCATTCAATTATGACCTGTGAGCCCGTATGACTTCAGATAGATTAAAGCATTTTAGTTCATAAGACAGTAAACTGTGGTGTACCCCTAGCAGAGAAAAGGAGACAGTGATATGCTGAAAATTGGGCTCTTTGCCTTTTATTAACCCGCAAAACTCCATTCATACTTGTGTTACTGAAACAATACTAAAACAAGAGCAGCTAGCAATTCACATTAGTGACAGTTCCAGCAGAATCCAGTGAGAATCAAAGGAAAAGAAATGCTAAATATTTCAGAAAGTATGATGCTTACCTTCCCAAAGTTTTTGACATGATATATTTCTCTTTGAATTCTCTGGGATACCCCGACTGATCATCCACCATAAGATCAGAAAATACAAACACTAGGAAGATGAGTGGAGATCATTTTCCTGTTACTAACTTCAAAAACTTTGTTAAAATAAACAAACTACTCTTCCTAAATGTTACTGTTCAACAATATAACTAAGAAAATGCTTTGGGTTAAAGGAAAAACATGTATCAGCTTAACTGACACCAGGACTGATATCAGCCAGTTCACATTGTTGAAAGATAACTTCTTTACTATAACTTCTTCAGTAACCAGTAAACTGCCTCAACAAACTATTCAGCATGACAAATTCAAGTTCTTACAATCCATTAATACAGCACTTAAGGTAAAAATGCAAGCAGTGTTAGTCTTACGTTTCAAAGCTAAATCCCAGGAGCAAGAATCACACATAGATGGTGCCTTTACAGGGGAAAAAAACAAAAACAAACTTCTCTAGTTTTTCATCTTGTTTTCTTTGTGCATTTGAAAGCATTTCGCACATAATTTTCATTGTCTGCCCTGAGTTGCAAGTCAATATCCCCTAGATACGACCGTCACACAGCTTCTTAGAAAGAAAAGCATTTTTTAAGTTTAACTATAAAAACAAACTGGTAGAAACACCCTAGATCAGGTGTAGTATCTGCAACTACTTGTAACCGGTTTCTTTGACATGTACTGGATTTCAGGCAGATTTGTTTACACAAAAAGCACTGGTCAAATATTAAATATCATTAAATCCCTTGTCGTCTTATGCAGGACTTTAAAAGCATTTGGGAGAAGCTCAGTGTGTAATACAGAAGCTATTTAAAAATCACTGGACATAAGAACAGAAGGACCTCCCAGATCAACATGTCACGCCTCTGGTTGTGTTGTGCTGTATTTTACCTTTGTTACTCTGTACAGACAGTGCAATTTCAGAATTGTGAGTCAGTGGCAGCCTTTTCCCTCTTCCTATAAGCTCTTTATTTACAAAGGTTCCATTCACACTGTGATCTTCTATGTAGGCAACATAGGAGTCTCGTGGTCCCGTTTCCTAGAGACAGGGAGAAAGGCAACAATAACAAAAGATTACTTTTATTGTGAGGCTGTACTGAACATTTAAAAAAATATTATGATATATAATTTCATGAACTAAGGAAAACTGATCTGAACAACCTGTTTGACTAAGTGACCCATGAAAGGAGTCTACACTGTAAGGCTTTTAAACCTCAGATTAGGGAGGGTTTGTTTCCTTGTTACCCCCTCCTCTCCCCACCAGTTAATCTGGATTCCTTCTTTAGAGGCAGCAGGAGAGGGGCCATGGGTCCTTTTAGCGCTTACCTTGAAAATTCGGAAATGCTTCTTGCTGTAGTTCTGGTAGAAACCTGTCTCGGACAGCCCTATCCTAGAAAAGCTGTAGTCACAGCTTTTGTCTCTGCCAAACCAACACTCATCATTCACACAGTCTGGAAGCAGAAAAAGAAGAAGAGAAAGGAAGGGACCACAAAATACCAGTAAGTTGTCCTAGAACAGCAAATTGATACCGAATGGTAGCACTCGAAACACACAGCAAAGCGGAATGGTTCAGAAGCTGCCTAACCTGACATTGTAACAGCCCTGAGAGAGGGCAGCAAAGTCCAGTGGTGTGTGGACCCGTTCCCCTCTGGGCAACTTGGCTTAGACTGCACTGCACCCTGCTTTAAGGAGAACCAAACTTCTAAGCAACATGAAAACTCACAGAGTTTCATGTGTAATCCATAACCTCATCTAAAAAGCCAGGAAGTTGGTGTATGGCACTAAAGATCAATAAAAAGCAGAACTGCAAGAGAAGAAAAAAACCCAACGTCTAGCTCTGGCAACCGAGCAGGGGTGCCTGTAACCCCCAATCTGTGCACACAGGCTTAACTCAATCCATGGGAGTAATGCCATCAACCCAGTCACAGTCACAGCTACTGCAACGATCATGACGGCTCCACTTTACCTACTTGTGTGGGGTTTCACACAGCTACAGGGGACAGATCTGGATTTGTTTTAGCTTCATAATGCATCCCTGGCATCAGTCTCCAATGGGTGTACGTTGTAGCCATGTTGGTCTAAGGACATGGGCAAATGAGAGTCTTCGGGTCAATCTGATCACTTTTATTAAACCAGCGCAAATTGGAGTTGGTCTAATAAAAGCTATCTGATTTAACTGTCTCCAAACCTCCATCTCCCAGCCGGAGGATAAAGGAAACCAGGGCTTGGAGCAGGGAGCGCTGTGCGAATCCTGCCAGATGCCGTCGTTGCTCTGCTCCTCATGTCGTCGTTGCTCTGCTCCTCTTGGAGGACTCTACCGGTAACAGCATCACCAGTTGCCATGGACGGGAGCCGCTTGAGACAGCCTGTGAGCGCTCTGGGCGCCCGTGGGGCCACCCGCGTCCTGCACTGGATCCACGGGCCCCGCGGGGAGGCTGGGAACGGCCAAACGAACTCGCCCCATCTCCCACCCCGCAGCAGCCGGAGACTGGGGAACATCTCGGGAGTTGGAGCGCCCTGCCGCACAGCAGCTGCGAGGCGTGGGGGGAGAAACAAGACGGGTCGCTCCTTCTCCGTCCCAGCTAGGAGGGACCCATGCTCCAGCTCAACCGGCGCCTACAGCCAGGAGCCACCTCGAAGGACACACTACGAGCAGGCCTCCCCCAGAACCAGGGCGTTAACTGAAACAAAAGCAAAACGTTCTGCTGTAACGACTTCCCCAGGGTGCGCCAGGGCACGGGGCCTACCGTAGTTGATGAAGCCCCTGCCCAGCGCGAAGAGACGCCCCCACGGCTGCGGGGCCGGCTCCTCCGGCTCCTGGTCCTCGGGGATGGGGGGCAGCTCCTGCGTGGGCACCGTGTCCAGGGAGCTGAGCGTGCCGGAGCTGGAGGACGACTGGCTAGTGCCCTGCGAGCTGCCAGACGACGAGCCCGTCCCGCCCTGCGACGGCTGCGACTCGCCGCCCGTCTCCCGGGACATCGCGGCTGCAAAACACGCGGCAGAAAGTGACACGCGGGCAGCGGCCGCCCGCCTCGGCCCGGCACCTCCTCGGGCCACGGCTAGCAGCCACGCGCTGCTTCCTCCCGCCCCGCGCAGCGCCGCTCACACGCG